AGAAGTTTGTATTTACTTGGTTAAATAAATAAATACTTTAAATAAATCAAAAGATAACTAAACTACACGTGTTTAAATTTATATGAAATCATCAAATTAAATTTTATTTTTATAATCTTCTTCAATTAACTTGCTTGCTCTCCATGCAACCATGGCAACAGGTGCATTAATGTTGCCATTCGGAATAATCGGAAAAATTGAAGCGTCAACAACTCGAAGATTTTTGGTACCATAAACTTGAAGGCGATGATTAACACATCCTCCTTGAGATTCTGGTGCCATCTTTACAGTACCACATGTATGAAACGATGATGATGTCTAAACGTTTGAAACCAAATTGAAGTACAAAAAGGTAAATAGTTGCATTTAAAGATTTCTTCATACATAAATATTTTGTGACAATTACCTTTTCACGAATATATCTTTCCCAATCTTCATCACTCATCTCGTCGCCTACACTACACCATTTTCCAAATTCATCATTAAATCCAAGTTCTTTCACGCCCCATACAGTACTTAATGGAGGTTGCTTAAGCATTTCACGTAATAATTTTAGTGAACTAATCATTCTATACATATCTTCAGGTTTTTCATAAAAATTGAGAAATATTTTTGGTTGCATGAATGGATTAGAATTGCATAATTCCAAATGGCCAACGCTTGATGGGCAATTTAAAACGGTGGCCAAAGTAAATGCCGATATGTTAGATTGGATAATATTATATTCAAACACAAACGCGTTTACTAGAAAATGATAAAATTATAATCAATGAATTAACGCTTAATAGTATTTTAAAAATATTTCAAAAAACTTACCGTATGTTTGAAAATCCGGACGTTCATTGAGAAATTCCTCTTTACTCGGAATTTTTCCTTCAACGTTACCTTTATAATGGATTCCAAGTTTAATCCCACAACACCAAGAATGAATTAGAGCATCATTTGTTCCATTTGGAATAGAAACTTTGCCGGTAATATGACATAAAGGATGATCCAGTAGATTGCGTCCAACTGATAATTCTTTACGAACTTTAATTTCACATGCTTCCAAATTATTCTTTGGACCGATTCCAGATAGCATTAATATCTTTTGTATTATCAAAAAAAATGTTGTAACCTTTTCATCTATCATTAACGCAATGACAATTTCACTAGTAAATAGTTTACATCCTCACCTGAGCGCTATTCACAGCACCACCACAAATGATCACTTCTCCTTTTGGAGCAATGAAAGCGTTATGAATTCCACCATTGCAGAAATATTTGACACCAATTGCAATATTTTCATCTTCATTTTCTTCGTCCCAGATAATACTCAACATATGAGAAAAGGATTTAACATTGACAGCAACAACCTTTGCAACACCGCCGGCAAATCCACCAAAAGCAGTTGTTAATGGCATTAATGGAGGGTATTTTTCAACTTTCTTCAATGCGTCCGCCAAATAACTGTCAGCCAACGAAATCCGCTTTCCATCTTTCATTGTATACTATATCAGATAAGAAGAATTTTCATAAATGATTAAAACGCATTTCTCATCTAATACCATTAATTACCTGATATTTCCCTACTCCATTTTGCCTAACGCCATTGAAATCGTTATTACAAGGAATTCCAAGATTGTTTGCAACTTTAATGAAATCGTTAGTCATCTCATAAGTATCATTTGGACTATCTTGTACGTGAAGTAGGCCATCGAACCCATGATACTTCTTAAATTCTTCGTCAGGGTTTGCACGCGCGTTGTTTTCGACGGCTTTGAAAGCTTTTTAAGAATAAAAGTTAAAAATAAATTAATTCTTCGCTATATAATATAAACAAGAAGATTAAAATTATCAACACATACCTTCAAGACAATGAACGTAATCCCAAATTATATATTCAGGTCCTTGAGACGCCCAACTATCGTAATCAGACTTTTGACCTCGCCTAAAAACAATAAAAATTTTAGCATTATAAATAAATGCAATTTTTACGATAACTTGCATTGAAAGTAAGAATATCGAGAGAAGAATTTTTTTAAAATATAAAAAAAAACTTACATGTAAACCATTGAATTCACGGTACTACATCCTCCAATAACCTTGCCACGCGGATAACGCATTCCTTTGTTTATTACTTCTTTTGTAGGTTCCATAGTACTAAGCATTCTTTGCTCTTCCGTATAATATCCCCAATCAGTTTCACCTGATCGAAAATTCTAATTACGATAAATCGTTAATCAAAGGAATTCTATAGCGGAATTAACTCCATGGTACGTACTCACCGAAAGAAAGGTACAAGGCAAGCGGACTTTATCATTTACTTGCGCATCTGGTGGTCCAGCTTCTAATACCAAAATGTTAACATTGGGAACATTATAAATGAGTTCTCTCGCTAGAATGCACCCGGCAGTTCCTGCTCCGACAATAATAAAATCATAAATTTCATCAGTCTTCATAAAGGTTTGACATTGATCCCGGCGATGGATGCTCTCTGACCAAAGATTACGAATTTCGGCATCAATTTTCAATTTTTTCGTCAATTTCGGATGAATGGTCTCTGCATATTTGTCGGAAGGATTTAATTCTGCCATATAATTTTTTTTTTATATTTCTTTTCTAAATTATTTTTTTATTTTTTTTTTTTTTTTTGTTAACTTTTTTTTTTTTAAAAAAAAAAGGACTGATCGAATACAGCAATCAATTATTTCAAAATCCTTTTATTAATCAAAATCTTTTATTTTTCCCACTCAATCAAAAATTCTATTAAGATTTCTATTTTAGGATGTTACTATGTAAAAAAATTTATTTTTTATTGACTCAATCATTTGTGCCATTTAAGATTTAATTAAATGTTTGTGGCACAATACCAAATTGAAATGTCTAAATAATAACGGATTAACGATAAATAGTAGATTGATAAATAAGTAAGATGTTACTAATTGTTAAGCATAAGAATTTTTTTGTAAGGTAAGTGACTGTTAAATGTGCCAATGATCATTTACGTAAGATATCCCGTTTTCTTTTTTTTAAAAAAAAAAAGCTTCGTTATATTGTTATTTTTAGCACAATATAAGAATGCCAAAAAGCTGGTGGGCACGTTGCTTAACTTTATTTGGAAAGGTGTGATTTTTCAATAATTTTTTGACGATCACACTAACCAAAAAAATTTTATATAGTTTAGACGTTTCTGTCATTTTTATAGTTTATAACTTTTATGTTATGCTTTATGCTTTAAGCTAGTAATCAGGTTAATGGGCTTAAAATATAAAAAAAAAATCGCAAACGCTGCGCCCCGACACCGCCTAAAAATACCAATAAAAAAGCGGTTTTATTTAAAATACTTACTCGATTGGCCCCATTACCGAAAAATCCGCCTACAAATCAATATTACATTTATTTGATTACTTTTTAAATTTATTTTATAATTATTATTTATTTTATTTTTTTTTTTTTTTTTATAAATAAAAGAATAAATCTTTATTTTTCTCAAGATAATTTTGAAAATTTGACGTATTTCAATGGTTGAGTTTGCCACATAAGTTTATTTTTAATTGGTAAATTACTTTCGGGTTGGGTCGCAAAGTAAAGTTTTTTTATTAAATTATTATTATTATTAATATTATTATTATTGGATTGCTACGGGGCACAATTAATGATTATTTCTTTTATATAAGTTCTTCTTCACATTTTTATTTTTAGGGGCTTACAAATAATGTATTTAGAAAGGTAAATGATTAGCGGATTTTTGTTCTACTCGATCATATTCTTTAAGCATTGATTTCGTTTGCAGTAAAAGCAGTAGGATGTAATGCAGTGCAGTGAATATCTCACTTTTGACCAATAAGAGCATCGGCTTAATGCACCAAAAGCTTGACCAGCAGAGAAAATTTGATGATGGTCAAGGCAATGAGAAAATTCAGGTAAAGCAAATCCTTGTGTTGTATGTACTTTAAGCACAAATTCAATTTGCAAAGAGATTTGGCATCTACTTGATGGTTTTCCATCAATCATAAATGTAGTCCTTTTTAATTTCATTATTAATAATGACACCAATTACGTTAAGCTTGTAAAGATTCTAAGTCAAAATCAATTATAACACCATTACTTTATATTTTGTCCTATTATGATATTTTTAAGAAGCATCACACGAGTGCCTTGTTTCAAATGTAGATAACTTGGAAGATTGGCTTTTTTTTTTTAAAAAAAAAAAAAAAAAAAAAAAAAAAAAAAAAAAAGACAAATTCCTCGAGTCCAACCGTAGCAAACTATAACGATCCCATGGCTTATGCGGCTAATTTTGAGAATCATTTTGTTAATTAATATATAAGTGATAGGTTATGTAATCTAAAGACTTAAGGATTTTTATAAATCTTATAGATTCAAATAGTTTCATTCTTTTTTCTTTTCTTTTTTTTTTTAGAAATGACAATTTATCATTAATTTTATATAAATTAGATGAGAAATTAATGTAATTTATTTAAATTCTTAAGTATTTATTAAAGAATGAAAAATGTTGAAACAAAAAAAAAAATAAAGAAATGGGAGGCGGTCAGTAGAAAAGGGGAATCCACTTTTTAGTTTATTGGTTCACTCTGCTGATCATGGTCATTGACCGCCTTTGGTAATACGGTAAATAACTATTTAAGGTCATCAAAGAGCTTATCGGAATATCGAAAACTAAATCGGAGCACATCGGCCGTTGTTGATTCTTATATGTTGTCAAACCTACATGCATAATATGAATTCAAAATTCCTTATAATTTTTTTTTTTTTTTTTATTTTTTTTTGTTACTTAATCAATTCATAACATAGTACTATCAAACCTATCTTTATTATTTCGAAATTTAGGTCTGATATTCTAATAAGTTGATAATAATTCCTTTAAATTGTTGTGAATTGAACGTTCTATTATCTCAATTATACGCACTAAATAAAAAAATTTATCTGCATCCGACGTTGATCAAATTTCATAAAAAAAAAAGGTTTATTCATCCAACGTAATACAACGAGTTTTGATGTTGGTGTTCGGAAAATTACCCTCCCTTAATCCCTTTTATGTTCAAAGAAGATATGACCAAGATTTAGATAGGCTGATTAAAGAAAAAAACACGATTGTCTTGTGTGGCGCTTCAGGAACGGGTAAAACGCAATTAGTTAGGCAATGGGTTAATCCTATTTTAAGACAAACTCACGTTAATGACTATGAGGCATTAATCTGGGTAACAGCTGACCAGCTAGATACACTCTTGGGAAATTGTAAACAGATCGGAGGATCGTTAGGAATTGAGGGATGCAAGCAATTATCGGTCGATGAGCTTGCCGAATCGATTAAGAGAAAATTAGAAGTACAACGTTATTTAGTGGTTATTGATGACGCTTCTAGCGAGGAAGTAAGGTGTATTATTGAAAAATTCTTGCCAGATTATAATACCGATATAATCATTACCAGTCATTATGAAGACTGGGATTATTACAAGTTGTACATTAATCAATGCACCGAGCAGGAGGCTTCTGCTATTGCAAAACATATTATCAAGGAAAAGAAGGCTAAAATTGTTGACGAAACACAATTGAGAGAATTGGTCTTGCACTTCGAAAGTAATCTCCTATGGGTGACGCAGGCGGCCAATTATATCTCCGAAAATTTGGGCGGCGATGTGGTTACCTACTTAAAAAATGGCGAAAAGTCGGGGCTGCTTTTAAAGGATTACCGTAAAAATTCACAGCAAGCTTTATCATCAACTCTTAAATGTTTTCAGATTTTCGCTAATCAATCGCTTTCAAAAGAATTGCAGGAACCAAACCTGGCATTATCGGTATTACAAATTTGTAGTTTATTGCCTAGTCGAAACATTCCGGTGACTTTATTGGTTCAATTCTTGCATGGTTATTCAAAAATTTTAGAACAAAAGTCGGAACAACTGATCAACCTGTTATGTAAGAAAACCATGTTGATCGAACGTGAAGGTAATTATTTAGGCATGCATTGTTCATATCAAACGATGCTAAATCAGAATATCCTGGTTGAAGAAAATCTCATCACCACCGAACAATTATCGGAATGCCAAGCTTGTTTTCTCAAGTTTCTGGTAGAAAAGGTGAAGTGGCGCCGTAGTGAGGCTATCAACCCCATTAAAAAATTCCAATGGGAAGGGCAAATTGATATTTTACCACATATTAAGTCGGTAGTTACGCACTTTGAAAAAGAAGCCGCTCACCAAAATTCATTGATCGAATTATATTATGCCATGGGTAGCTATTATGAAGCACAGGATTTCTTGCATGAAGCGAAAGGATGCCTTATAAAATCACGTGATTTGTGCGAAAAATCATTGTCGACGAAGGTATTATCGAAACTCGTTAATATGTCAATAGTACCGTCAATCAAAACTACTAAACAAGAAATCAAAGAAAGATTGATCTCAGAAAAATCTGACTTGGAACAAATTAAAATGTATAGCATAGAAATATTATATAAACTGGCTTCTATCAACGTCAGATTATGGAACATCTTGTCTGAATCAGAAAAAAATCTAACAATTAAATATCTTGAACAATCTTTCCATATGCATCCATTACTGATCAAGCCAGAGGACGTCAAGGCTTATCAGGATAGATATTACACATACCGCAATTTAGCGGCCGCATACAAGAACCAAGGTAAATCACAAGAAGCCGGACGAATCATTGCCAACTTGATAAATTCAGATTTTGTTAAAAGCAGTGCTGAAATACGATCACTTGCTCATCTCGATGTTGCACGAGGAGAAATAAAATCGAGCCCTCAAAAAGCAATTGATAATCTTATTGAAAGTTTAAGCTCAATCCAATCTATTGCGGAGGCTGATTATTCCTACGGTAACCGTGCAAAAGATATGACAATAGTTTATATCGAATTAGGCTGTGCTTATCTGGAAATATCTCGTGTCGAAATAGATGAAACAAAGAAATTTGATGCATTAAAGAAAGCCGATACGCATCTACGTTTCGCTTTAAAGTCCAATCGCGATTATTATAAACGAGAGAATAATCGAACCGCGGGCAGAATTTTTTATCACTTGGCCGAAGTTAACGTGGCATTGCGTTATTATTTCTTGGCACATGAAGCCGTAACCCAAGCGCTCCTGATCCAACAAAATTTTTATCGCGATCCTAATCATTTTTTTGTTAAATGTTCCACTCAGTTGTTAGAAGGAATTGAAGATCAAATCAAGCATTTGAAAGACCCACCTGAAGAAATTGAGATAAAACCACTTCAAATCCTTCAGGAAGAACTTGATCAGAAAAAAGAACGATATAACATGACAAACGAACCTCAATTACTCAAAGAATATGCGGATGTATTGCTGGCTACAAATGACCCAGATATTAGAGATTTCGCCATCAAGATCTATCAAGAATATCTGAAATCAGCTCCTAATCTCGACAAATGTCGTCGTGCTTCTGTTTATAGGCGATTGGGATACATTTTTTGCCTACAAAAATCTTTTAAATCCGAGGGGAGTTTAATGGAAGAACGAAAAGAAAGTGCGAAAGCTGCTTATAAAAAAGCACAGAAACATTACAAAGATTTATTGGCAGAACCCGAGTACTTTGGAAATGACGTTATTAAATACAATTATAATAACTGTTTTTGGTGCTTGAATAGATTAGAGAAATCCAAACTTGCTGATATTCATTTAACGAAAAACAATCATGAATTGTTTGTACGAGAGCTGACCAATTCATTGTTGGAAAGATTTATCTATTATAAAAAGAAATTGGATCCAAACAATACAACTTATGATAAAACTAAAATTGTTACAGGAATAGTCAAAACTGTAGCAGAAGCCTTTGTCCCCACATTAAGTGTAGACAGTAGTGGCATATCAGCGTCTATAGAACCTAAAGAGATTTTTATAGGTATAGCAGATCTAATTCAAGCTGTCCACACGGGAAAGATGCATGATAAGGCGGAACAAATTATACAAACTTTCGAAAGCAAGCAGGATCCGATTAAAGTTCTTTTTGAAGGCATTGCGAAGAAAGTAGCCAACATCTATATCGAGCAGATACAGCAGCTTGAACCCGAATCTATCAAGAAATTTACTCAATTTATCTCAAAACAATTATTTGCTTACTTGGGTTCAAAGAAAATGGATTTTACTTCAGATCCCACCGAAACACTCATTACGGGATTATATTTCACCGAATATAAAAAGAACTGTTTGTTAACTACCAGTACTGGAGTTCGATGGAATGCTAGAGAATTACTTTGCTATACGGGCATCATTACTTACGATAAGCGAATTTACATTTACACCAAAGCGCCAGTGCTCAATCTTAAATATGGTTTTCGTTATGATAAATTACCAGTTATTCATCGCCATTACGAATATCATCAAAATCGGTTGGAAGCCGAAGATCGACTCAAACGACTAACTAAATCGCAAAAGACAATGAAATGTATTATTATGTAACCACTTTTATTTATATGGATTACTTAATTAGGAAATTGTGGAACTGCATGGTACCACAGTTCTTGATTAGTCCAAGGATCTGACATTTTATAGGTTAACTTTAATTTATAATAAAGATAAAATTTTTTTTTTTAATTTCCTGTATATATAAATTTTTTATTACATTTCTTCAAAGTCGAATTTTGGCATTAAAAGTTAATAATAAAACATCTTTAGAACGATGAATGATCCAATGGAAGAGCTCGTAGCTCAATTAAGCAAGGCTAAAATCGAAAATGATACTAATAAAATTGTGATTTTACTCAAGAAAATTGGTCAACATCTTTGGCAGAAAATTAATGAAGAAAATGAGATTACCATACAAATGGCAGATCGCTGTTTATCGATTTACAAGATTTACAAGGCCACGAACAAGATTGCTAAAAAAGATATAATACCGATCCAGGAGATACTAGCATTTAAAGATTTTTTCTTAAAAAAGGTATTAAAATCCAGTAATGATCCAACAAATTTCTTTTCCCGCATTGATGAATTTTATAAATATATTAGAGAAATTCAATGTGAGCAAGCTAAAGACGTTATTCACCAAATCCAAGAGACAAAAACGAATTCCGAAAAAGTTGTCATCATTAAAGAATGTTATCAAAAGCTTAACATATCGCTGCGTAAACTACTTTATGACATCATTCAGCTCTCGCTTGAAGCTTTTCATGATGATGAAATTAGTCATCAAGCATTCGCGGTTGTACTATTTGGTTCGTGGGCAAAGGATACGGCTACACCCTATTCGGATATAGAATTTTGTATTTTAGTCAATGACCGTAATTTAAAATTAAAAGAGGTGTTACGCCGGATGGTATATTTGATGAATTTTATTGTCATCAACCTAGAACAAACAGCTCTTCCTTTGAATTTATTTCAAGTATCTAATGTAACAAACGTTATCGACTTTGATGATCTATTAAAGCCAGGATTTCAATTTGACTTGGGAGGAAAAACACCGCTTGGACGTGCAGATAAAGATTATGATTTAATTAATACCCCCCAAGATATGGCGAACTACATTAACTTTGGCATGCTCGAACAAGATCCCCTGTTAGTTGCTGAATTAATTGATTGTCGATTCTTATTTGGTAATGAAAAGCTATATGAAGATTATAAACAGATGGTAAAACAACAGTTGCATTTTGAGGAAATAAATCAACAACCCTTCCATAAAAGAATGGCCAAAGTGCTTCTACAAGATGGTACAATGAATTTCAAACAAGCCGATTTAGAAAAATATAAAATCAAGATAGATAAAATCAGTTACGAAGGAAGGTTATTAAACATCAAAGCTGAAATTTATCGATTGCCAGACAGATTGATTGAGGGGCTAAGATTAATTTTTGCAACACCCGGCGAAACATTATGGGAGAAAATCTCAGGATTGTTGAAATGTAATATTATCAGTCAGGCAGGATCTGTTAATCTCGAATTCATGACGGCCATTGCGTTACAGTCGCGATTGTTTACTTATGTCACAAATGGTAGTCAAAGCGAAAGATTAGGTATTTGGGATACTGCAGTTGCCCATAACAACTCAGAGATTGAGAGTTTTTTGGGCATAGACGAAGTTGCTAGCCTGGTTAGATTCTACCAAGTCGCAATTCCCCTTTACCAGTTTGTGCAAACGAGTGTGAATCAAGAAAATTTGGATCAAATTAATACAGAGCAAAACTTTTTGGATGAGAGGCTGATTACAAAAGCAACCATTTGTTTTAGATTTATGCTTTATCGACAGGCCGAAATATTGTTACTTGAATCTCAACAGTCAGAATTGATGAATGCACATTTTCAATTGTATCGCTTGTATTCCCACCTAGGAAAGCCCCAGTTAGCTTACGAATTCTATGAAAAATACCTAGAAAATAAATCACGAGAAATTAGTGATCGGTTTAGATTAGGTTACCTAAAATTAGTTTTGGGAAACCATAAAGAGGCACTCGATGAATATAATATTATACTTGATGAACTTGAGATTACTCATCAAAAATTGTCCATGGATCATGTACAGTCCCATTGCTATATTGCCCAAATAGAAGGTCTAATGGGTAATACCACAGCCGAATTTCATCATCTTGAAAAAGCTAATGAAATCGTCAAGCATATCCCTGACAAACATAAAGATGATGTGATGATCGATTTTTACATCGGCTACGCAAAATATCATGCGGGCAAAAATCAATTTGATCGGAGCAAGCACTATATTCAACAGTCCTTAGATTACACGGATAAGCTTTATGGTAAGCACGCACATACTAAATTGATTGATATTTATCAACAAGCGGCTGAAATTGCCCAGCAATACAATCAATGGGAGCAGGCGGTAAAATATAGAGAAACAACAATTCGTATGATCTATATTCTTTACGTGGGGAAAATTGTAAGTCGGCTACTAGATGCTTATATTGACCTCACAAATACTTTATGTCTCATGGGAAAACTTGATCAGGCCAAAGAACAACTGACCTACGTTAAATGCCTGCTTCCTAGCGTAGAACATGAACTTACGAATAAAGCGCTTACCTTCAAACTCTCATACGGGTATATGAAAGTTTATCAAGCAAAGAAGAGTTACCAGTGGGCTTATGAACATTATGAAAAAGCTACTGTGTATCGAACTACATTTGAAGAAAACCCATATTATCGATTACAACTCGCTAAATTTTATCTAGATGCTTTCGATACCTGGATTAGTTATGATAAATGGGAGGAGTGTAAGCAAAGATTACCTGAGGCTATTAACATTATTACTGAACTGTGCGGTAGAAATCACAGTGACCTTGCGAAAGCATACTGTCAATTGGCTACCTTTGATTTGATACAAGGAGATAATGAGCTTGCAAAGAAAAATCTCTTGCAATCTTATGACATTTATGAGAAATTGCCAAAGATTTATCCAAACTATCTCACTACTCTGACAAATTTAATAAAAGTTTATCAGAACTTCAAGGATGGAGAGAAAGCAATATTATATGCAGAAAAGTTTTATCAACATGCGGAAAAGATGCAGCCAAGTTCAATGTTAGAATCTATTATGTGTTTCCTCGTGATCGCATTAGAGCAAGCATGTTATCAAAGGGTTTTACCATATGTCGAAAAGATATCTGCTAATATAGATAATTTAGATCATCTATATCCAGAAAGCGAACTTGAGCATTTAGATTATGCAACCCTAGAAGGTGTTTAAACAATTAAAAAGATCAGACAAATACTGCTGGTAGTTCAAATCATGTCATATCTTGGTCATAGCACACCGAAATCAGGCATGTTAAAACAAAACATGATTAGATATAAGAATGAAAGTAATAAATTAATAAAAAGCGTTATGACTCATCGACCTGATATAATTAAGCTCATTATCAGCTATTCTGAATCCATAAACGAAGGAAAAAGCTTGTTGGATGAAGCTTGCACACAATTAGTGCCTCGAGATGCGTTAGTCGTTGCATTATTAAAAGTGGAAAATACAACCAACGGATTTAATGCAAGAGAATATTTAAAGAATGCACTTGCAAAGAACTCTATCAATTGCGCTGACGAAGTACAATTTGAACAGTTGTTAGAACTCACAGGACAATTTAACTTAACTATAGATATGGCCGTTGTCCATATTGCCGTCACAGGGCAGAGTGTCGAAAATTATTGCACCGTTTTACAATCTCTTAAAGAATCTGTTTGTACCGACCGTTCATACATCAAGAATTATACCTGTATTAACTCTTATGCTACCTATCTTTCTAGTAGGTTTTTATCAAAGAATTTATTTGAAACGCTTACCAATAAAGATGCACATTATGCGGAATTGATAATCCATAGTATATATCATTTGATGCATAAGATAGGAGACAAGGCACCAAAAGCTTTATTTAGTTCCGCGTTAATTAGGCTAGGTTTTACCGAAACACATGCGAGTGATATTCTCCGTGTTCTCATAAATCTAAAATTATTAAGAAGTGAAAACGAATTCCTTTATATCCATAGCCTCATTAAAGTTTCATTGAACATTGAGTTTAATCTTATTTCTTATCCGATGGATTTAAAGACCATCGTCGAAGAATGTTCTCTATATCTAGAAAACTGTAGTCAGGTAGACTCTGAATTGCCGGTGGTGTTTGATATCTATCGAAATGCCTTGCTTGAACTTTACCACGTGTTTACCAGTGGTCTATATAACGATACAAGCATTGGTAATTTTGTCGTATTTAACATTTGTAATATGAGCAATATTTGTGAGAATATTGGTTTAGCTGACCAAAAAATTTATCTGGAGAAATTGGCTAATGTAGTGCATGATAAAAATACCGAAGTATATGCGGAAATAATTACCTTACTTGCTTTTGCTGAGCGTAATGCTTCAAACTATTCTCAACAACTAAGACTCCTCCAAGAGGCGCATATTATTAAATCCCATTTATTCAAAAGTGACGATCCATTATTTGCAAAGAGCCTAATTAATCTCGCCCGCGCATTCGGAGATATTAAAAATACTGAAAAACAGAGGGAACTCTGCGCGAAAGCTTTGGAAATCATAAAAAGGGATTATGAATTAAGATATAATACCTTAACGTCTAAAGAGCGAGCTGCAATTGAAGTGGAAATAGTCATTGCCATGGAAAATTTTGCTGCGGGTCACGTTTGGTTCGACAATGCACGGCTTATGGAATTGCTAGAGAATAGTTTGGATTTCTACAATGAACATCACCTCAATTTTCCAGCGGTTAAGGAAAATATATTATCCAAACTGATATACAGCTACTGTATAAATGCACCTGAGAAGGCATTAGATGTGTATCAACATTGGGAAACCTTACAAAAGAAACTCTATAAAGAAGGGACGCAAGCACATGCTCGTCATGCTGGATTTGCTATGATAAATTATTCAATGACGCTTTCAAAAAATTCAATTGCAATTGTTGTGGACTTGTTAGATTTGAGAAATTTGCCTATACCAAAGGAAGAAAGAAAGAATGTTGAAGAAAAAATACAGACCGCCAACGAACAAAATTTACAAGCACGTCAGATTGCAGACAAAGCTGCTCTCTTATTAGCTACTTTTTATCCCAAGGATGATTACATATTTACACAAGCATCTGATGCGTTAAGTAAGATTAAAATAATCGAAAATAATTTTATCGCGATTCTGAAATTGGTAGAGGGCGTTAAATATCTTTACGATGGAAACCTCGATCAAGTCAGAGTTACATTTAAGACCGTTTTTGAAATAACTCTTAACCAAGAATTAAAGAGCGAAGCTTTATCAATTATTTCATTTATTGATCTTATCCAAGCGAAAGAGAAGGGAACTATTACTAACCGAATACTTGAAGGCTTTTTTAAACAACAACAAGATGCCATCAATATTCATGATTCAGTTCCCATTCAAATGAGACTTTCCATAACTTATTTTGCTTATGATTTTCACGAACAGGCAATCATTCATGCCGAAAATGCTATACAAAGATTGCATGATATACCGAACCTTCCAAAAAGAACAAATATGTCCTTTGACGGATTTTTAAAGCCCATTTTACCTATCGTGTTTCAGATGATACTAGGAGGGATTGATAAGATAAAATATTTTCCCATTAATTTTTTAGCGAGATACGTTATCATTAACAGCTCATGTGCCTTAGGGCATACCCATAATGTAGCACAAATGTTAAAAGAATTTGCTCTGCTTATTTCGTCTAATGAAACCGCAATCTCTCATCTTTTACTCGGGTTTTGCTATCAGAGGCAAGGAAATTGGATATTAGCATTGCAAGCTTTTAATGACGCGTATCAAAAACAACCAAATTTACATTTAGGTCGAGTCAGCGTTACATTGGCTCAGTTTTGCATTAAATTTTCAGAAATTATAGATGCTATGGACATGAATATGTTTAAAGAAATTCGTGTAATTAACACCATTTTATCAGATTCAAATCTAACGCAACAGCTTGACACATATGCAAAATCTAATAAGATAGATGTTAATGAGGTTAAACTTTTCGTCAAAGCTATTAATGGCTCTTAAATGATTCTTTCACGGTTCGAATCATAATTGCCATATACAGTATTTTTATAGATAATTACAATAAATTAGGCTTCATTAGTATTTAATAAAGTTTATATAAAACATTTTTATTTACATATTGAATTTGTTTGTGTTTCGTTCGGTGATATTTGTAATAAGCAAATGTTGTGAGGTTTTAAAATAAAAATTTTAAAATGACTGATATTTTGTGCATTGTTAAGCAGCGGATTAAAGGGGCGATTTAAAATTTTGTAATATGATCTGACAAGTTTTGACTTGGTTTGAAGAATAATATAATAAATATCTAAACGTTTCTTGGAATACTTCATCAAATTCTTGATTTAATAATATTCTTTAAACTTTATCAATACTTAATTATATAAAGTTTATAGACATTTTGACCCAAATTAAGTTTTATAAAGATCAATCTGAAATTTGTCTTTAAAATATTCAGATGAATAATCTTTGAATATTAATATTTTCAGGATTTATACCAAAAATATCAAAGTCAAAATTCATCTAAAAGTTTATGCTAAATAAATCTATATAACAAATAAAACTTAGCACAATTGTTTAATATAAAAATATATATATAGTATTTTATCTACTCTTTATATTTGCTTTAAATATCAAAAAAGGTTTTATTCTTTTTTAGACCAGAATTTATCTAATTCAAAATTTTTAGATTTTTTTATAATATTTTTATGATTATTAACTTTCTAATATAGTTTTAACTATTATAAAATAAAACAAGTATTTTAATATAATTTTTATTAAATTTATTAAAAAATAATTACTATTTCTTTGATGAATTTTTGATTTTTAAAAGATTTCAAAATGAAAATATGCTTTTTTAAATAATACAATAAATATCTTTATAAACATTCTTTTTTATATATTTTTCATTTTATACAACTGAGCATTTATATAATTTTATATGTTCATTGATTATTGCTTGCTATAACTAACCAATATAATCTTTCATAATAATATCTTTTGACATTGTTCTTTTTTTTATTTTATTTTTTTTTATAAAAATATATTACTCAATATATCATTATTAATATATAGCGAATTGATAATTAAACTGTATAGAGTAATGCAATATCATGTAAAATACTTTTGATTATCACAAATTTACATATAATATAAATATAAAATTTTATGTAAAAAATTTAAGTTTTAAAAAAAAAAATATTAACCTAAATATAATAAAAAAATTTATTAAAGATTTAACTAGCAAAATCAAGAAAAGCTTTAAGTAATATTAATACTCATTATTCTCTATTTGTAAAAATTGAATTCAATTTATAAATTAATATTTATATAATTAATAATTATTGTAATAAAAATGAGAATATTAATAAAATTTGTATGCTATTCATCTAATAATTGAATTATTACTATTACTAGTTATAACTATTATCATTATTACTAATATTATTATTATTATAATTATCACAATTTTGTAATATTACTATATTGATTATACAAGCAATAATATTCACATTTTTTCTTTTATTTTTTCATATTTTTTTTTCGCTGACTTTTTTAGTTTTTTTTTATCAAATCCTTTCTTTTCTTTTATTTTAACTTTTAATTAGGATTAATATAGTGTTAGAGTTAAAAAAAAGGGTTAAAGTAAAAGTTAACTTAATGCTAAGATTAGAAAAGTGAGTTAGGATAAGGGTATAAAATTAATTATTAAAGCAAATTAATATTATGCGTGAATATAATCTATTATAGTTTGTTAAAAATTATATAAATAATAAATTTTGTCTTGTAATTTTTGAATGAATCCTAATAAATTAATTTATAAATAAAATATTCAAATTTAATATTTTGTAATACTACTTTTAATACAAACTGATAGAATATGTCATTAATACTTTTTATTAGAATTGATGAGTGAAATTATTCATAACTTCTAAAATAAGCACTAACTTATAATGAATATGAAGAATTCTTTAATTAGATTATGTTTTGTATAAAAAAAACTACATCTAATATTTTATCACAAATTATATTTACAGATACTAATACTGTATTTTATAATGCAATAGTATTTAATTTTTAGATTCAAAATTAGCTTTATATTTCTTTCATATTAAATAAAATTTAAAGAAAAATGTTTGTTCAAAACTCCAATTAGTATATTTAAACATTATTATAAAGTTTGATAAAACATAAAATACATTAGATGAATAGGAATCTTATTAGATAAGAGGTATTATTGTATAAATATTCTATTACTCAACTATATCTTCACAATAATTCTCATCTTTTACATTATTCTTAAGTAAAATGCTTTTTTAATCATATCTTTAATGCTAAAATACAATTAACTCAATGAGTAGAGAAATGAATAATATACTTAAATATCTGATAGATCATCATAGTACTTTATATGAATTATTTTATGATATAGAAAAAAGAATCAAAATAAAGAATTTTAAAAATAAATTTATAAATTGAAATGATATTCAATATAATAATTCTTCAATTTTAATAATAAAATTCTTTTTAAATATTAAAACAAATTGGCTAAATATTTGTTTTTAGAAATTTTCATTAAGTAGTATCAATAAATTAAAGATAGTTTTATATATGATATATAACTAATTAAAGATTACTATGAAATTTTAAATAGTTATAAAGAATCTTCTACTTAAAGCTCTAAACAGTTCGATTTAGTTCAGATTAGATACCAATCCATATCTGAACCAAAAATTTCAGTTCAATTCAATTTAGATTATTAATCTTAAAAATGCCAATCTGAATTTGAACTGAACCGCAAACCAGTAAAAATCTGAAATTTTCAGATTAATCCAAAATTACAATTTAATTATATAAGGAATCAGCAATTTATATACAATACTCTAGGAGAATCACAAAAAATCACGAATTTCTCTTCAAGATTTGCGAAAATTTGTAAATTTTGATGAATAATCGCAAAAATTTGCAATTCTCTAAGATTTTCACATTTTTTGCGAAATTCAAAGAAAAATTGCAATTTTTTGCGATTATTCATCAAATTTTGCAAATTTTTGCAAATCTCAAAGAAAAATTCATGATTTTTTGCGATTTTTTAAAGATTTTGTGATTTTTTTGTGAAATTCAAAGAGAAATTGCAATTTTTTGCGACTTTCCAAGAGTTTTGCGATATTTTTGTAAAATTCTAAGAGAAATCACAAAAAATTGCGATTCTTCAAAGTTTTTGCAATTTTTTTGTGAAATTCAAAGAAAAAACTGTAAAAATTTGTAATTCTTTAAATGTTTCGCTAAATTTTTGTGATCTTCTTAGAGAATTCGCAAATTTTATAATTCTCCAAAAGTTTTACATATAATCGAACTGAACTTTTAGATTAATCTGAAATTATCAGTTCAGTTCAGATTTTTTCAGTTCAGATTAGTATTATAATCTGAAAAAAATCTGAACTGTACTGAAAATTTTCAGATTGATTTTTATGTAATCTGAAACTGATCTGAATCGAACTGATCTGAAAAATCTTCAGATTAATCTGAACTATTTGGAGCTTTACTTCTACTATACAAAAGAATGTAATTTAAAAAGCTTTTTAAAAAATATTGCTAAATTTTCTATTTTAGAATTTGGCAAGTTAAATATGCATTTTCAGGAATTAAATCATACAACTTTATTGTAATTCTAAAAGATAAATCTCATATTTGTTTTTGTTTATATATAATTTCTCATTGATTAGTTTGTAGTCACATTTTTAACCTTATAAGAGTCTTAAACAGTGCAAAATTCAATATGGCTTTAATTGCAAACAGATGGTATAAAAATAAAATCAGCAATAATATTGAAATTAATCATAATTCAAGCATATATAATTTTAGTTATATTCAACAAATTTAGAATACAATTAAAATACGACTTAACTAAAAAAACATTTATCTTAAAGAAATAAATATGGAAAGATTTATAGGTTAGCTTATTATGTAATGCAACTAGCAGTTGATAATAATGATCAAGGATCAGCTCAATGGATAGAACAATATATTAAAACTATGGAAGAACAACTTGAATAAACTCAACCTAATGCTATATTAACTGAAAAAGAGAAAACATAAATTCTCAATACAAACTTCCAATTCAAATCAATAATACACTTATTATTAATCATACTAAACGTGGACCTTCTAAACATGCAAGAATTAAATCAGCTGTTGAGATATTAAAGGAAAATAACCAAAATAAAAGGTTACAAAAGCAATGTCAAAATTGTAATGAAACATCTGGTCATAATTCACATAGCTGTCCTCATCCTTGTGGTAATTGCAATGATATTTCTCATAGAATTCATCAATGTACACATTTAAAAAGTTAATTGTAAAATTTAAAAAATTTAATGAACTAATAAAACAAATAAAACAAGTTATCTGGTAATAAATAGTTAATTACCACAGAATTATATGGTAATAAATAACAATTTATCACCATGTGATGATAAATATCAGAGCCGTTAATAATTTTATTTATTTTTTTTTTTTATTTATGATTTTATAGGTTAGACTATTGTTTATTACTAGCAAATATACCCGACAATGACCCGGGTTTCAGGGACAATAAGTCTCGGTATATTAAAAATTCGCGATTATTATTATTAATAATCAATTAAAAGTTAAAAATAAATAAAACTAAACAAAAAAAAATGAAATTAAAAATAATAAAACAAAATGAATGGGGAGACGAATAAATAAAAGAATAAATTAAAAAAAAAATAAAACGATCGAGGGGATAAAAAATATAGAATAAAATAAAAAAAATAAAAACAAACGATCGGGGGGATAAAAAAAAAAAAAAATTATTAAAAAATAAACGATCGAAGGATAAAAAAAAAAAAATAATAAAATAAAAGTTTGGGGGATAAAAAACTATAATAAAAAAAAAATTTAAAAAATTAAAAAAAAAAAAAAGATAAAATTAAAAAGATCGGAGGGGGAAATAATTAAACAAAAAGACGGGGGGGATAAAA